GCCTGCAGGCCGGCGTCGCCGTCACGACCTCGCCGAGAGCCGGGTGTTCAGCTCGGTGCACTCCGAACGCGGGCTCCGGTGGGTTCGACTGAGGGCGGGCGCCCGGCTGAGGGAAGCGGCGCTGCTGTCAGAAGGCCTCCCGTGCCCTCACAACGAGTGTGTTTGCTCTGCCGTGGGTCCCGCGTCACGGTCGGGGCAGGAGCCGCTTCCGACGCCCTTGCGAAGGGCTTCGCTGAGGCCCAGGTCGGGGGCCTCCGTCTAGGACGGCCCCCGACCTGAGGCCCGGCACGCAGCCTCCCTGAGGCTTCCGCCACCCCCGCCGCGGCCAAGCTTTCTCTCTGGGCGAAAGAGGCCTGCTCGCGGAAGGGAGCTCGGCTTCAGGCTTGCTTCGCGGAGGTAAGGCTGTGGTGCTCACTCGAGGGTTCCGGGCTAAGCGTCGAGAAGGCCTCCTTCTCCGTGGAGCGACGTGTGTGTGGACGTGGACGGGGATGGCATTCCACCCTGCCTTGTTTCGCACAGGGAGGTCGGGGGCCTGGACCTCAGCGGGTCCAACCCCCGGCGAGTCAGCCAACGGCTTCCCCGTGTAGGACGTGAGGCGCCGGCCCGGGAGAGGCCGGCCCCACAGCCCGGACCCTCGTGCCTCACGAAGCGCGCCCTTCATCTCTCCTCCCCGCTTCTCTGTTCGCACTCATCTTTCCCTGGGCGGACGTTTTCCCGGCAGCACCGTGTTGCACGGAATCCAGGGAGGAGCTGTCTCCTTGGGTTGCCAGGCCCGGGCGTGTGTCGACCTTGACACCGCGCAGCCCGCTGTCGCCCCGGAGGTGCTGGCGGCACCCGCGGGTCCCTGGAGTGGAGGCCCAAGGCGGCAGCGTGTGCACGTCTTCCTCCGCGTCTGAGAGAAGGCGTTGTGCATTCGGGGAATGGCGAGGTGAAAGGGCCCCCTCCGGGAAGCGCGATCCAAGAGCTGAGGGTTGGGTGCCTTGCTCCGTGCTTCTAGGTGCCAGAGCCGCTTCTCTCTTCCCGGGACAGAGTGGGGCTTGCTGGGCCAATGCGTCGTCCTGAAGCAATCGCGTGGCAGGGGCTCGGCGCTTCCCCCTTCCGTTTCGGGCGAGCCTCCCAGCTCAGGGCGCCCCCAGAGAGTTTGGCCTGCAGGCCGGCGTCGCCGTCAC